AAGAACAAAAACATGAAGACACAAGGAGATGGCTCCAAGAGGGAGGCCAGGAAGTTGCCACAACAGGTTCTAATCCCATCTCTTAGTGTGGCTCCATCCTGTACCGGAGCTGTGTGCTCTGAAATCCCTGGAATCTCTGTCATTTCCTTGTGTTTATTATTTCTGCTACCCCTGTGAGGAAATGCTCCTTGACCCTTCCCTTGGGAAGAGTTGCTCGGGCCTTACTCAAGGCTATTGACTTTTCTGTGGACTGGGGGTTGTGGGGGTGGCTGCACAGCTCACATCTACCCTAGGCACCAGGATTCTCCTGGCAGGGGGCACTCCAGGGATAGCCTCGGAGCCATGGGGCCTGAAGACTGGACCAGTGGGCTATCATTGTCTAAGCCCCCTGGATGGGTTCCCTATCCTAGCTCTCTCGTACTTAGCCATATTCCTGATGACAAAGGACTCTATGCTCAAGCAGCTGGGAGAGCCAGAACTGACAGAAAGCTTTGTAAGAGGTGTGGAGTGTTTGCTTTATTCTCCACTGTACCTCCAGGACCCAGTCTCATGCCTGGCACATGGTAGAGGAGCTCAGAAACTGTTTGTTGGATGAATAAAAATATGGATGGATGGATGGATGGATGGATGGATGGATGGATGGAATGGATGATGGACGAAAGGATGAATGAATGGATGGTGGATGAAAGGTAGGAAGGTTGTCCTTCCTGAGGTCAGAGAGCTTTAGAGCAGTAGCATCTCCAGGGATCAGCCCTGGGGTCAAATGTGACTATCAGAGCATGGCACCTCCTTGGAGAGGAGTGGGAGGTTAGGGGTCAGAGTCAGGGGCCTCTTACAGGCCCTCCTCACCTTCTCAAACTCTTGCTCAAATTTTGCATGTCTGAGATGGTATCTCACTGGAGCGCATCCCTGCCTAGAGGCACCCTCTTCCCATGGCAAGGGTTCCCATATCTGGGTGGGCATCAGAATCTCTTGGGGAGTTTTAAACAATATAGATTCCTGGGTCCTGCCTGAGACCTACTGCTCAGAATACTGCTAGGTGGGACCAGAGAACACCTGTTTTTTAAAGTTCCTCAGGTGGTTCTGCCATGTAGACATACATAGGAACTCCCCACCTACTGGAACACGTTTAAACCCCCAGGCAAGGCATTCTGAGCCCTTTGCCATTTGGACTCAGTGTCCCTGGGAAGCCTCATACCTCATCCCTCACCCAACACGAAGCCTCAGGAAACCACCCCATGGTCCCTAGACATGCTCAGCCTCTCTCACCGCCCAGTCTTTGCTCAAGTTCATCTCTGTACCTTCCCCTTCTCTATCCAGGGAATTCTACACATCCTTCACGGCCCAGAAAATGCCACTTTCCCTAGGAAACTTTCCACACCCTTCTCCACCCAGCTAGGCAGAACTCTTGTCTCCTTCGGTGACTCTCAACACACCTCCCATCATCTACATCAGAGCGCCTGTCACTCTGCCTGGTCATTATCCAATAACGCCTATGCCAGACAGTTTGCACCAGCGGCCTTCTTAAAGCCTTGCAAGAATCTTCTGAGGTAGATGATGAAGATGATGATAATGGCAGCAAAGACTGACTAGGCGAAAAGCCTGCTGGAAGCCTCTACACATGCTGCTGCGCCCTCAAATCCTCACAGCAGCCGGTGAGGTTGATACTGTTATTACCAGGCCCATCTGACAGACGAGGACACAGGCCCACAGAAACAAATTCACTTGCCCCGAGTCTCACTGGAAGTGGCAAAGCCGAGTCTAGCCAGGCAGAGCTCCGGATACCGTGGTCTTACCCTCTGTGCTTCGGCCCTTTGAAAGATGAGGACACTGATGTCAGGAAATATCTGCCCAAACTCACCATTCTCATGAGTGGCACAGTCATAATTTGCACCCAGGAGCCTCTGATCCCTGAGCTCCACACTTCACATGGCCTCTGTTCAAACCTCCATCTAAGTAACACCCAGGCCAAGCCCCATTCCTGACTTTTTTCCAGAGTCCCTTCCTCTTTCCACAACCCCCCAGAGACCTGCTCTCTCATCTTCCTGACCTGGCCTGCCCCTGGCTCTCACTGCAGCCCACTCAGCTCCACCTCAAGTTCCCTGGAAGGAACGCCCATTCCTTACTAGGCCACAGCTCAGCTGGCAAGCTTTCCCCCTTCACTTCCCCATCTAGCTTTCCAGATCGAACAAGCTGAAGTAGAGAAGGGACCAAGCCTCCTCCTCTCCCTGGGCCTCAGTTTCTCCATCTGTAAGGCAGAGAATGGCTCTATCCTGGCTGCTTTCCAGGGTTGAGAGGAGGCTCTGATGATCACAGGGTAGAAAGCTTTGTAAACAGCAGTCCAGCCCTGAGCGCCTCATTCCTGGGCCCTGGTTAGAAGGGTGGGATCTCAAGTCAGCCTGGAGCCGAGCTCTGCCATCCTGGCAGCTCACCTAACCTCCCTGTGCTCCAACACCTCATCCAAAGAACAGGATCACAACAGTACCTTCCACATAGAATCATTGTGAAAATTGGCTGCAGTAAGGTACTAGATGTACACAAAGGGTACCTAACACCTTTTATCTCCACAAATAAATGGTAGCATTAAGTGAAGGGCCTGCCTCCCTCTGTGGAGAGAGCAGACTAAAGTAGAATCGCAGCTGTGACATCAGGCACTTTTCTGGAGAACTCCAGAGGGAAACTCGGCTCCCTGAGGTGGGTCCCCAGCCCAGCCATCCCCCACTGAGAATAACTCTAAATAACTGTCTGGCTGGGTGACAGCAGGTTTTATAAATTGTGCTGTCACTGCAGATATTCTTTAACTCACAAGAAGTTGCAGAGCTCTTTATGATGTCCCTTTCTCATTTAATCCTTTACAAAGCCTGTAGAGTGTGTGGGGGCTTTGGTTCTAGGCTGACCTAAGCTCATTTCCAACTCTGCTACTTACTTGCTATGTGATCTGGGACAAGTTATTTACCTTCTCTGGGCTTCGCTTTGCCTCATCTGTAAAGCAGGTAGGACACTCTCAATCTTGGAGGGATCTTGTGAGCATTACAAGTGTCAGGCATAGAGGAAGTACATAATAACCCTAAAAGCTCCATTACTCCCATATTCTTATCTAGATGAAGAAACTGAGGCTCAGAAAGGCTGGTAAGGAGCAGGACTCTGGCTTCTACACAGGAAGTTAGTCCCCTGTTCATGAGTTTTTGAGGCCATGAGGAATGGTTCTGGCTGCTCAAGACCAAAGACTGATCTTGGGGTATTGCTTTACATGCCTGTCCTTATAATTCTCATCAGTCATAGCTGGCCAGGTCCAGTCCTCAGCACCAATGGGTCAGAGAGGACAGGGCCAGGGTCAAGATGGGTATGGTAGGTGAGATAGCGAGGCTGTGTGCCCTGTGCCCACTGGAAAACCAGCAGACACAGGAAAGGAGAGTAGTGGGCTTGTCTCAATCAACTACGCTAAGAGGACACAATGACCTCATCTATGCAGCCAGCTGGGCTATTCTCTTTTCAACAGCCTGAAGTCAGTAGGCTAAGAGACACTTCATGGCACTGCCCTCATATCTGCTGATTTATTAAGCCTGCTTCCAAGTAAAAGACAAGAACTCTTCTTAAGCATCTGTCTCTGGGCAACTTTTAATTTTCTCTCTTTTGAAGACAATGATGAGATACCATTTTTCACCTATCTAATTGATAAAGACTAAAAAGATAAGAACACCAATATTGGCCAGAGGATTGTGAAAAGGGCAGGTCCCTCTACAGCTGGTAGAAATGCAATGTGTGCTATGTTTTCAAAGAACGATTTGCCAAAGCCTTAAAAATGCCCCTCTCCTTTGATCTTGTTGTTCTCCTCCTAGGATTTGCACTGAGTTATTGGTACAAAGTTGATGTTTACAACTGCTCCCAAATGAAAACCACCTAAATCTTCATCAATAGAGGATTGGTTAAGTCAGCGATGGACTATCAGCCAGCCATTAAAAATCAGGCTAGGAAGAATATTTACTCACAGAGAGAATGTTCATTATAGATTAAGAGACAAAGCAAGTTATAGCCAGGATGATTTGCATTGATACAAGCAGGGTTGATCAGTTTTTCTACAGCAGGGCTTGTCCTCTTAGAATGTTCCTCTTGGACCCAGCTGTATGGAAGTCCAGGCTATTCTGCTGAAAACAGAGGAGGGTGCAACACCATATGGAGAGAATGGCCCCAGCAATGGATCCTACTGAATGCAACCGCATGAATAAATAACTTAGCAGCACCATGGGGAGCAGAACTGCACAAAATCATGAGAAATAATACATAGTTGTCATTTAAAGCCACTAAGTTTCGGAGTGGTTATTCTATAGCAATAGACCACTGAAATATCCCAGTGTTTTCATTTCCTAGATTTTCAGAATGCATATAGACCATTAGAGCATCCAGCCTTGTTCACTCCTGGAAGGCAGGTCCTGGGGTGACTCCAATTACTGAGTCTCTGTCACTGACCAGTCATTGTGCAGCTTTCACAAACCATCACGTACTAGGCACTTAATAAATATTTCCTGAATAAGTGAAAAAACGTCTTAGTTAACACACACTGCAGCCCTGTGAGCTAAGAGTTATTGTTTTATTATAACTCAACTGATATTCATTCATTAGAGAAGAATCAGAAAAATGCAGATATTAAAAGAGAAGAAAATAAAAGTTATCCCTATTTCTACCACCCATAATTTCAATTAACATTTAGCATATATGCATAGAAATTTAATTATATTACATATGCATATTTACTTTTTAAAATGTGATAAACATATTTTGTAACCTGTTTTTTCCATTCAAAGCAACCTTGACTTTCTTTCCACATCAATAAGTGTATATCTCTATTCAGCATTTTTAATGAATGTGCATGTTTGCCTGTGTGACTCACACCCCATCCTCCTCTCCACTCCTGCACAGAGGTGAGCTCTGCCTGCCTTGTCTATGCCCTATGGCCTCATTGCCTAACCATAGCCAATCAGACCCTGGGAAAAATATCTCACCCAAACAGGGCCGATTTGCTTCTCTCTTCTAGAAACTCAGAATCAGAACCAGGAGACAGTTGAGTCAGCCTTGAGGGTTGCTGAGATGATCCCATGTGAGTTCTGGCGTTGTACGGTGGTCATGTTCTGCCATGTGGAGCCAGACACGCTTGTCTATGAAGAGAGAGAGGAATAAAGCAGGGGTACAGGATCATACCATCCTGGTCATAGTGTACTTGCTGAGTCCAGAGCTTTGTCAGCACTACTGCATCCTTGCCACTGGTTTGGGAGACACACCTGTATCCTTTAATAAATTCTCTTCTTTTGGCTGAAGTTGGCTTATACATATTGATACTTGCAACTGGAAAATCCTAACATCATCAATGAAATAAGGAAGATGTGACTCAGCCAAAAGCCAGGCCTCTCAGACACAGTAAAAAGAACAACCTAAGATAGAATATTGTCCCAGCACCTTCTCTAAGCAGAGGCTCTACCAGCTACTTCACAATTCCAGGTACACAGGCTAGAACATGAGCTGTTTGAGGGGAGGGCTCCAGACCCAAGCAGTGAAGGCCCTCTTTTTATGCTGTCGCTTCTGCCTTCCAACCTCAGCAACAAACATCTGTTGGGCACCTGCCATATTCAGGGCACTGTGCTCAGGACAAAGTTGAGGATCGATGATTCAAGTTCCATGTGCAACTTAGTGCAAGTCAACAACGGCTCTCTAGGTCTCAGTCTTCTTATCTATAAATCAGTTGAAATATACAACTCTAAAATTTTTTCAGCTCCCACACCTATAAATCCAAGCCAGGGTCCTGATCCCAGCCCTTCAGGAACAAGATATTTATATATCAAGCTCTAGAAGTGCATAAGACTTTCCAAACACCTTCATATGCATTGTGTCCTATGATCCTCTCGAGAGCCCCACAAGGCAAGGCTTGTTAGGTCACTTTTAGAGAAATGAGAGAGGGAGAGAGGTTAAGCGACCTGTCTGAAGGTATGCAGCTTTGAATGGAAGAACTGGAACTTAAATCAAAGTTGGAGCCAACTGCCCCACTGGGGGCAGGAACAAATAACTCTTGACCTTTATTATCATAGTTTTAAAGATGAGGAAAGTTTATATGAGGTAACTAGAGTAGTCAGCTTCATAGAGACAGAAAGTGGACTAGTGGTTGCCAGTGGCTCGGGGGAGGAGGGAATGGGAAGTTACTGTTTAATGAGTATGGAATTTCTGTTTGGGAAGATAAAAATGTTCTGGAGTTGGATGGTGGTGACGGCTGCATGACCAAGTGTGAATGTGCTTAATACCACCATTCACTTAAAAATTGTTAAAATGGTAAATTTTATGTTATGTATATGTTACCACTTTCTTTTTTTTTTTTTTTTTTGAGGGAACAAGTCTAGCAGGATAAAGAGAGTAAGTGTAGATCAGTTTATGAGAGTTCTGGGGACAAACTGGGTTCAATACTCAAATCTACCACTTGCTTACTTGCTTGACCTGGGGCAAATTACTCTGAAACTGTGTCGCAGTTTCCTTCTTTGTGAATGAGATAAAACAGCAATGTCAAAGATTTGTTATGAGAATTAAAGGAGCTAATTATATATCATTCACTTAGCCCTGCACCTGACACACAGTAAACTGTCAATACACATGACATTATTATGACAAGGCTCAACCCGGAGCCACAAGGGCCTTGGAGGTCACCTGTTATGATGCCTTCATTACAAAACTGAAGAGACTGAGACTTAGAAAGGGACAGTGACTTGCCTGAAGTCACCCTGCAAACCAGTAACAGAGCCCAGAGTGGAACTGAACCACTCCTCTTTGAGTCGAGGTCTCTGCCTCCAGCCAGCCCATGGTACTTTCCCTTTCTTAAGAGCTAAACTGCCATGAATTTGGGGCATAAATTTCAGGCATCAATGAGAAAAGGTCATCCCTTTCGCCAGCTTTTGACTGGTTCTCACTCTCCCTCTTCTAAAGCGAGTCAGCTCCAATATAATGGGGTGAGTCAGCCAGCAACTCCGAGATGAATGTGCGTGTGACTGCCAGGTGGCATGCAGGTGGGGACAGGCACAGCCGGATGCCAGCTGGGTTGTGACTGCTTGCTGGAGGGGGATGGGGTAGAGGGAGAAGGGTAAGGGAGGGAGGTAAGCTGTGTGCTTTCTTTTGGAGACAAATTGCTGCATAGTGGTATTTAGAAATTAAGAGGTCCGGGTTTCATACCTTGAATTTGTTACCAAATTCCTCCTTTGGTGACCTCAAGCAAGTATGGCTTTAACCTAGTGTGCCTCAATCTCCTCAACTGCCCAGTGGATGTATAAATAAATTTGGTCTCGCCCTCAGGACAAGGTGTAGGAAGATTCTGCATAGTTAAAAAGTTCCATCAGCGTAAAGAGTATTGTTACTTCACTTCTCAGGAGAAATAAGATTCTAAGAACAAAACAGAGCTCAGACAGGCTGTGTGTTTTTCCCATCAGTCCTGGGACTTCACAGGGTCTCTGAGACTCTCAGGTCTCCATGTTCTTCTCCCACATCTCAGAGTGCCAGGTAAATTTCTCAGACTCAGACTTTACAGGGAGCCTACTACTGTGTGCTAGGCCCAGGGACATGTCATAGGACCCACCCCAGAGCCCTACAAGATCAAGATTATTCTGAGCCCCATTTTACAGAGAGAAAATTGAGGCTCACAGAGAGGACACAACTCATCAAAGATGGCACCACTGGCAGGGAGGAGCTGGGCCATGAAGCCAGACTTCCTGAGTATTCCACCATTCACCCTCTCCTGTGGGCTGCATTGGGCCCCCACCTTCCAACTTCAGAGACCCCCAGGAAACAATACATGGAAACTGGAAGAGGTAGATTCCTGCTATCTTGATGTAAATAAGGCTTTAAAACTGTAAAACCCTGGAAATGATAATAATAGTTACTATTTTTCATTTATTATATACCAGTCACCCAATAGTCATTTTCTCTTTCATATTCTCAATAAATCTTTGAGGTAAATGCTGATATTATTCTCATTTTACATTTGGGGAAACCGAGGCTCAAAAAGGCTGGGTAATATGCCCAAAGACACATAGCTAGCAGATCTGTCTCCAAAACTGGCGATTTATCCACCCATATCACTGTTGGCTCTTTCACTCATTCGTTCATTCATTCATTTTTTGCTTCATTCATTAAAGTTTATAGCCTCTTCCTTGTGCTAAATAAATAGCTGGACAGACAGAAGTCAGGAATGCTTGAGTCCCTACCTAAAGGAAGTCCTTATCTAGGAAAAGATATGGCTCAAATAATTGTAATCTAAGTGATAAGAGCCAGGCCTCTGGTACCCTGCTTGTGCTAGTGCTGAGTCAGGTGTCTGGGCACTGTTGGTTGGAGTTTTTGTTTGCTTATTTTTTTAATCGAGGTGCTAGAACTCAAATCTACTCCCCGTGTGATCTCAGGCAAGTTACTTAATTTCCTTGAATCTCAGTTTTTCCTTTTAGAAAAAGGAGAGAAAAATACGCATCTCATAGAGTTTTATCAGGGATTAAAAAACTGGAATAATATTGTATTCATTCATTCAACAAATAAGTACTGAGTCCCATTGTGTGCCAGGTACTGTTTTTGGTGCTGGGGATGCTAGCTAGAAGAAGTGGACAGCAGACATTCCCTTGGACCCACGGAAACATTTTTCTTTAAGTAAAAATTTTTTCAATTGAAGCAAAATGTGCACACAGAAAAGTGCAAAACTTAGAAGTGTGCAGCTTGAATTTTGACAAACTGAACACACCCATGTAACCAGCACCCTGATTACAAAACATTACCAGCAGGTCGGGATTAGGGGTGGAAAATGAAGCATTCACCTACCTAGTAGGATTTATTGGGGTGCCAAAAAGCTCGGTCGTCAAAATAAATAATGTTTTTAATGCAATCTTTCTTTTAAACAATCAAAATTAATGCAAAAAAAAAATCCATGATGATAAAATATCAAAAATTTAAATAATGACAAGATTAGTAACAGTGCCCTGTTGAGTCATATTAAAGCTCGAGGCAAAAGGAAAAAATCAGTAATGTGGTGGACAGAGGAGCCATCTCTAGGGTGGAGACTAGAAGGAATGGGGCAAGATGAGTTTAGATTTAAATATGGTGAGTGCCAGGTACCTGTGGAACATGCAGCGAGCTGTCCTAAAGGAAGCTGGGCAGACAAGCCTGGTGCTCAGGGGTATGTTCCTTCAATAGCCCCAGCATCAGCAAGCAGGTGGTGGCCCTGATGAGAGCGCTTCCAGAGAGCCGGGGAGGGGCAAACAAAAGGTTAAGAAGGAAAGCTAAAAAAAATTCTCTGGGAGCGGGTGGTTTGAATGGGTATGCAAATGAGAATGAAAATATTAAGCACAAAACTGGAGTCCAGCACCATGTTTACCTGCAGCCTGAGAGAATTTGAGCTGCAAAACATCTTGCGGATTTGGGACTCCCGTGTCCCAACCCCTACCAAACCCCCTTGCATTAACTTCAGTTGACTCAGCAGGCCCTTTCTCCTGGCTGCCAGGGACGCTTGCCTTTAAAGGCAAAAAAAAAGAAGAAGAAGAAGAAGAAGAAGTCTTTTCCTGGTCCGCCTTACTCACTCCTGACTCGGGAGCCGCAGGGCGGAGCCGCTAGGACCCTGCTCAGCGCCGCCGCCGGAGCCCACGTTCGTGCTGTCAGGCACGCAACCAGCCAGCATCTGCCTGGCCACCTGGAACCGCCCTGCCAGTCCCAGAGAGCTCTTTTCCTCCAAGCGGCTAAGGCTGGAACTGCTTAGAATCAGAATTACAAAAGTCCCAAGTTCCTTCCTGGGCTAAAGGTAGCCTCCAGGGACAAAGCTGCCAGCGTGACCACAGCTTGGGGGTTGGGGGGAAGAAGGGGCAGGTGGCCCTTGATCCTTCCAAACTGAACCCTAGGGTTCCCCAGGCCTCCTCACATCCTCTTTAAAACCTCAGGGTAGCATAGGCTTGAAGGAAGGTTGAGAATCTTAGGTCTTTCCCCTGCTCAAAACTCTCCATGACTCCCCACTGCCCACTGAATAAAGCCCTAACACCTATATCAGGCATTTGAGGGCCTTCGTGACCCCATCTCTTCAGCATCTTCTCTCACTCAAATTCCCCCTATCTTTATCTTCTCTCTCTCCCAAGCCCCCGCACTCCAGCCATAGGGGCGACTTAGCCTGGCTTTCTCTGGCTTAAGCTGCACCTTCACCACCCGCTTCCAGGCACTTATTTGCTCATGCTTTTTCTCCCCATGCATCCCCAAATTCCAAGCTCAGACGCCACTTCTTTAGGTTTTTCTCTGGTGTTCCTTCCCTATTTGGAGTTATATCCTATTTCACAGGACTCAGCCACCCCCAAAATAGACTAGCCCACTTGAGAATCTAATCTCTGACCCAGTGTAAAGAGCTTCTGATGAATGTACCTCTAAACAGTAGCCTCCAGGGGTCATAAACTTTTACAGAGAGAAAACTCCTAGAAATGGAATTTCGAGCAGGTAATGGGGGTCTGTTTGGGCAGGTATGGAGAAGGATAAGGGAGAGATTCCCTCTTGGGGGACTCAGGGACACTTCCCAGAGGAGGCCCAATTCCAAGGGTGCTTTGTGCCATCAGAAGTATTTTGGCATGTTGAGGTTGAAGGGAGTTAGGCCAAGGAAAAAACCTGAGCAAAGGTATAGATATAGAAAGTGCTGGTGTGAAGGGTAAGGCTAGGCTTGTAAACTGGAGCCCTGAGGGCCTTGATGGCCAGGATGAGCTTTGCTCCCTCGGTGACAGTGTTAGACATTCGAGCAGGAGAGTAGGGGTCAGGACTGGAGGAGGCGAGACTAGCAGAGCTGTTGGCCCTGCAGACAGCAGGGAGGGAAGGAGGATGAGATGGTGCAGAAGGTAAACTTAGCAGGACTTGGTGGCCTCTGGAACCCAGATGAGGAGACAATGTCCCTAAGTTTTGAAGGCTTAGCAGTTGGGATACCATAGAAATAGGAGCCATGGGGTAGGGGTGTGCCCAGAGGGGCCTGCCTTCCCTTCCAGGGTTCCAGGCCCAGCCAAGGTGTCACCTCGGCCAGCACTGGACACACAGCCCAGGCAGAGGACTCCAGGGGTCATGTGGTCAGCTCAGAGTCCTCCTTTCCAACATAAAGTCACCCCTCCTGGGCCCCTCCATGGGGAAAAGGGCCTTCAGCCTAACCTCGAGATTTTGGCCAGACCTTTAGACGGAGACTCTTTTTTTCCCTTCACTGTGCCTCAAGTAAGGTAGGTTCTGGAAAAGGAAATGAGGTGAAATTGGATGAAATAAGGTGAAATAATTCCACTATCACTAAAGGAAGACTTACCATGTGTCCATCGGCATGTGCTTCTCTGGAAACTATAACTCTGATGACAGTACATGAGGGTGATGGTGACATACCCACATGAAAACTGGGGCTCATAGGCCAGCACCTGACCTAGGATCATACAAGGCTACTACGCAGTGGACCTGGTTGAAACCCAAGGTCTCCTGTGCTCTTACCTGTCAGCATAGATTCGCATGTACTGTCATGTGAGGAAGGCTTCACAGAGGTGGTGATATGAAAGCCTAGAGAAGTTAGTATGGATTTCCAGGCAGGGGGCCCAGCCTATAATAAGGCAAGACTTCAGCATCAAACAGATGCTGGGGTAGAGGAGGTTAAGACAATATTGGTACTGCGACCTCCCATAGTCTAACGAATGCCACTTAAATACCACTTACCAAGTAACAGACGCTGTTCTAAACATTTTACAAATATTAACTCACTTAATGTTTATCACAAACCAGTGAGGTGGTTGTGTTATCCCTAGTTTACCTGTTATCCAGTGGCGCACAGCCTGGTACGAGCTCCACCATTTTGCTAGAGGCCGCTGAAGCTCAGAGAGGTGTGCACACTTGCTAAGGGTCACACAGCGAGTACTTTCCCCGGACCCAAGGCACAGGAAGAAAGGAAGGCGGCAAGAGCGAGGTCTGGGCCCAGAGCCCTGTCCCTGGCACTAGCCCCCTCCCCCAGAAGCCCCGCCTTGCGTGCATTAAGCCCCACCCCCGGCCCTGCTCACCCCACCCCCCACACAGCAAAAGCGCGAGCCAATGGCTGGGGTCCTATAAACGGTAGAGGTAGCCGTGCAGATTGTGGAGATCGTGGGAGCAAAGTCAGACCTCGCAGTCTTGAGTCTGGGAGACTGAGCAGCAGTCAGAGCTCCACCCGCCCGCCCGCGCACCCGGTGCAGCCAGAGCCAACGGCGCAGCGCGGCCATGGATCCCAACAGCAAGGTGAGGCTTGCGCTCGCGGGCCCAGGCTGCCCACCCCAGGCCTGGGTTTCTTCCGCGAACCCGGGCGCGCAGGTCCCTCCCGGTGGGGGACGCGAGTAGGAATGGGCTTTGAGGGAGCCACTTGCGTAGTTGGCGCCCGCGGTATCTGGCTTTCTTCCGGGGACGCCGCGCGGTCTAAGCCAGGGGCCCTGGACTCCCGGGGCGAGCGCGGCGGCACCCATTGGCTGAGCGGGCCGAGCCCCCCATTCGAAGGAGGCCGGGACCCGTCCTCACTCTGCTGGCAGAACCGCTCTTTTTTGTGCTGCACTTCCCCGTGGCCTGGTGTCTGGCTTTCACCGAGGTTCCGAGGCGGGGAGCATTTTAAGGCCGGGGCTCCAACTCCAGGCTTAAGTCGAAAAGCTGGCCTCTGAGGCTCTACTTTCTGGGTAGCGCAAGCCCCAAGCTTTCGCCAGGTCCTGGGGAGGAGATGTGCTCCTAGGTGGCACGTTTCCCACTCGGGTGAGGGCCCCCCAGGGGACTGGGAGACCAGGGACTCCGTACTCTGAGTAGATGAGGACTCTTCTGGTGGCAAACAACTGCCTAGATAGGATCTGTAAACGAGCTTGCCTGCAGCCTGTGTACAGGACATTGTTTCTTTTCTTTTACTCCCTTCTTTCCTCTTGTATAGAATATTTTCGAGTCACTTTTTTTTTTCCTTTAAGGCTACAGAAAATCTGCACACAGACAAGGAAATTAATTCTCATAATAAAAATAGCCCGGTCCAAGTAGCTATAGTTTCCAGTCAGATTCTATCATGAATATACAGTACATCACATTCTATTTATTCGAGAGGTGTATTTTCTTGTGAGTCTGCTAGGTTATCAGTTCTTTCTGGAAATATTAGCTTCTCACAAACTGCCTCCTTTATTAGTAAATACTGTGATATTTCATTAGGTTTCATGAAGAGGGAAGATGAAACATGCATTAAATTAGTAATTTTGCTCTCTCGTGATGTCTTTTCCGCATCACGGTAAAGTATCGCGTCATTCATTCTGATGAATACTTCATGAATTCTCAAGAAAAACTACAACAGCAGGAAAAAAAGCTGGAAGGCATTAATTACTTTAATTTTCACTCTCAGGATTGAAACACCATAATCATGAAGGTCATCTTCAAACAGGAGAATTTCAAAAAACTTAATTTGTTCTCTGGCTTTCAGTTTATCTGTATCTGTATGATCTGTTGTAGGTACAACTTTTAACTTGAATGATTATCCAAGTAATGTTTTTGTATAATCTGTTATATAGGTCCCATAGTACAGTTTAATAACCTCAGAGTGTTCACCCTTCATCCTGCTTTCCTGCCACTCTCAAGTTCTTTTTTTCTCGGAAATGCTCACTCTTGCCCTCTTGAACGGTCCCATCACCTGCCATTGGCAAGGTAGGCGCAAAGATGCCTTCCTGGAATACTGGGGTAGGATTGAACTCTACACTGCCCTTCCTGTGGGTGTGAAGGTGTCCACTGGGACTGAGCTGGGTCTTGGCTGTGTGTGACTCTAGGCTGTACTCTCAGCGGGAAAATGCTCCTTCATACCTGTTGAATCCAGATAACTTGCTTCGCCCCACCCTGGCCTTTGGGCTTGAAAGGAGACTCTAAGCTGGGAACAAATTTCCTGACAGTCATAGGTGAGCCATTATGCTGGAATATAACAAAATAAAAATCAAATGAGAAGCAATTTTAGCTAGCAGTCAGGGTTTGAGACCCAGAAGTCCAAATACTTGCTGTGTTATCTTGGGGCTCTAGCAAGCCACGTAACTTCTCTGGGCCTCAATTTCTCCATCTGTAAGACAGAGGTAACTTTTATCACTTCCTCAAGGGTAAGCAACTGTCTGTTTAGCATGCGATGTAGAACCTGAGTGTCTTTTTGTTGAGTGGACAAGGGAATATTCTGAGTGGTGACAGAAAAGTGGAGGAGAAAATCCATAGCCACTTGTAGTTTACTAGGCTCTTGGTTAAACTGCT